ATTGAAGTCCTACTGGCACTTCCTGCATCCCCACATCACTACCTCCACTCACCACAGTGCCCCCCTGAATGCCCTGAGCACACCAGACTTGCTCCCACACCAAGGGTTTCTCTCTGGGTGCCTCACTGCACTGAACTCTGTGCACCCACATATCCGCTTGGTGAGACACCTACTTCCTTTGAGCTGTGTTGAGATCAACAACCAGGCCCCACCTGATCCCCGTGAAACACCAGGGGGTGCCCTCACTCCCCACCCCATATCCTGTTCCCTTCGTTGTCGCACTTGGCCTTCTGTTTTTTTTTTTTTCTTTAGAAATTATCCCCTTCTAACAGCATCCAACCAATCATTTATTTTGCTTTTTTCTATCTCAACCTCTAGATCATAAACTACACAGGGCAAGAATCTGCTTCACTGAGGAGTCCCTGTTACCTAAAACAAGGCATGGCCCACAGGATGGCTCCATATACGAGATTTCTATTGAAGAAACAAAGTTGAGTGAGTGAGCCATCTTTCCCACACATATAAATGAGATGCTCAATTATGTGAGTTTCCAATACTCCCAAGGTGTAGATGTAGAATACAGATCAAGCCACTAACCTGCCACCTGTAGTTCTAGAATGGCCTCTGCATAGTGGCCTCCCTTCTGGAAGAAGCAGGTGTACGTCCCATTGTCTGAAGCCTGGACTTGCTGGATGTGTACAGCAGCCTCCCCGATGGTTAAGAAATCCCTCACCAGCAAGGTCCGCCCTGCATACTGGGGCATCTGCTCCTTGTACTCCTCCCGGTGGTTCCGATAGATGAACACCACCTCTGAGAACTTGGTATGGAACCATCGTAGCTCCATGTCCTCTGCGTTCATGGCTGGCACCAGGGAGCAGGGCAGAGTAGCCTCACCACCCAACTCTGCCACAACAGGAACTGAGGAGCTGATCACCTGGAACTCATCTGTGGACACAGAATAGACTGAAAACTGAGACACAGGCAGGGGGCAGAGACACACAGACCATGGGGGAAGAACAGGCAGACCGGGAACAGGTGCTGGAAGAGGTGACCCCCAGGCTGAGGGACTGAGCAGTGATGACTCTGAATCTGGATGAGATCCTCAGACCACAGGTGGTGGCCCAGAACGGATGTCACAGACGCCCTCGTGAGCCTGGCCCCTGGCCCCAGGCTGTCCCATGAAGAAATATCTACACAGGGAGTCTCCACCTTGAGCGTGCCCCAGAATCCACAGGACAGTTTGTAAACCCAGATCACAGGTCCCACCCCCAGAACTCCTGACTCACTTGGTCTGGGGTGGGCCCAAGAATGTCTAAGCGTTTGTGAGCAGTCCCCAGGGAGCTGAGCTGACTCTCCTAGTCATGAGCCTCCATGGCTCTAACCTGGCCTAGGGGAGGACAAGCCTGGACACTGAGCACAGAGCACCCTGGGGCCTCCCTCAGAGCTCCTGGATCACTCAGCCACACCAGGAAACTCCCTACTTCGACCCCTAAGTTATTGTTTCTGTCTGTAATTTTTTTCTCCACTGAATTCAAGGTGCACTTAAGCACAACTTTTCCTTCAAGCATGTTAGGTCACCACATGTGACACCAGCAGCCCATCTGGGCACTGATTCATGTCCCTGTTGTTTCACTTCCGCAATCCAGCTTCCTGTTAATGCATCTGGGAAAGCAGTGGAAGATGGCCCATGTGCCTGATGCCTGCACCAATATGGTGACCCAGAGGAGGCTCCTGGCTCCTGTCTTCAGCCTGGCATAGACCCAGCCATTGCAGCCATTTGGGGAGTCAACTATTGGATAGATTTGTCTGTCTCTCCTTCTCTGTGTTTGTATATCTAGCCTTCAAATAAATGAATAATTTTTTAAATTAATCAATTGATTAAATACCCCAAACCCTAGACAACTATTAAGATCACACATGCTCACTTTATTGGTGAGTGACTGGTAGTAAATTTTTAATGACAAGAAATGGTTGGGGGAGCATCATAGCCTTTCTAGAACCTGGGCCCCCACAAATCGCATCCCATCCTGACTGAGAGGGCTGGGGGCTCCACTCACTCCCTGAAGAAGACCCCGGGGAGGGACAGGGACAGACTCACCTGCAGAGCCCCACGTGGGCAGCTGGGCGAGGAGAAGCAGGGAGGGGAGACTGCAGAGCAGAGAGGGGCGGCAGCCGTGCTCCATGTCCTCAGAGCTGGGGAGAGAGGCGGGGAGGAGGAGGCCTGGGCCAGCAGGCAGGTCAGCCCCAGAGCACCAGCAGGACAGGGTCCTCCCGTCCCCCCTCACAGCAGCAGAGCCTTCCCTACAGCCTCAGCACGCCAGCACCGTGGGGCCCACAGGATCCCGACAGCACAGACAGCTGGGCCGGGGCTCTACCAGCCCTTCTGGGGAGACTGCGGTGCCAGAGAACCCTCAGGGCAGCCTGGGGGAAACAGCCCCTCCTCTTCCCATCCGGAATGAGTTCCTCCACCTGGAAAATCAGGTCTCTTCTTTCTCAGCCCCAGGGGCCCCACGGAGGAAACCAGGCCACTATGCACACAGTGCACAGGACCACCCCACCAGGACAGGGGACCCTGATTCAGGCCACTCACCCTGAAGGACGTACCATCTCCTGCTTCCTGCAGCTCTTCAACCTCCAGTGGTGACCTGGGTGTCCCTGAGAAGCGTCAGAGACAGACCCCTCCTCACCGAGCCTGTGCTGCCCGTCCCAGGGGCCCAGCACCTGTGGCATCTGTGGCTGTGGCATTCACCTCAATTTGACCCCCATCCTAGCCTCTTACTACACAGGCCCAGGTCATAGTCCTTGGTTCAGCAGGTGCCCACACAATTTCCTGCTGACATGTAAATCTCTCAACACTTGAAGATTTCTGCATGAGCAGCTAATTACACTGGTGGGAGGCAGGACCACAGAGAAGACAAAATGAGCCTTCATCAGAAAAAGTTCCAGGCTGGTGTCGCGGCTCACTAGGCTAATCCTCAGCCTGTGGCGCTGGCACTCTGGGTTCTAGTCTCGGTTGGGGTGCCGGTTCTGTCCCAGGTGCTCCTCTTCCAGTCCAGCTCTCTGCTGTGGCCCGGGAAGGCAGTGGAGGATGGCCCAGGTCCTTGGGCCCTGCACCCGTGTGGGAGACCAGGAAGAAACGCCTGGCTCCTGGCTTTGGATTGGCGCAGCGCGCCGGCCATGGTGGACATTTTGGGGGTGAACCAACGGAAGGAAGAGCTTTCTCTCTGTCTGTCTCTCTCACTATCTAACTCTGCCTGTAAAAAAAAAAGTTCCCACACACTGTTTGTAAGGAGGGAGAAGGAGGCAGCTTTGCCCTAGTTAAGGATGGTCTCAAGGGCCCCTCTGCTGGGCTCCCTGCAGGCTCGGCCACTCTGGGTGACTTCACTGCTAGCAAGGTCCTTGGCCTTCCTGGTTTCAGTGTCCTGATCAGCAAATGGGGGAGGTAACAGCAGCCCCCTCCGATGCAGGGAGGGGTCCATGCCTTTGTGTCACTGCAGTCACCCTGTGAGGTTAGAACAGGGCCTGGTCCCAGCGACACTGAGGAGCAGAAGTGAGAGAAGTGAGTAAAGGCTCAGTGCTCACTGCTGTCCTGGTCTCCCTGGACTGAGACATCCTCAGCCGCCCCCTCCCCTGCCCTGTGCCCCACCACCCTCTCAGCCTCCTTCCCAGCCAGCTGCTCCTGCCTTCCTCCTCCTCCCCCACAGGCGTCTTCAAGCCAGCTCACCTGCTCCTCCTTCTTCCCAGCTGTGAAAGCTGTGACTTCCTGCAGGGTCTAACATTCAGCAGCTCCAGAAACTTCAGAGCCACAGAGACCCCAGCAGACGGCACATCTCAGCGCACAAACCCTGCTTCCAGGTCCAACGCTGGGGTCCAGGATTCCTGACATCCAGGAGACAGTGGGCTCCCAGGAGACCAGAGGAGCAGCAGAGCTGGCACAGTGCAGCAGCCTCTGCAGGGGCCCTGGCCCTGGGGCCCCACCAGGACCTCCCAGCCAGAAGAGCCAGCCCCTGCGTCTCCTTCCACCATCTACAGTGAAAGCTTGCAGAAGCAGCCTGGGCATGGAGTGCCCTGCCCTGTGGACCTCGCTCCCTGTTGTCAGCAGGAGCACAGGGCAGGAGACAGCACCACAGCTGCCCTGGGAGTGGCTGCAGCACAACCTGCTTAGAGCTCACAGTGCCTCAGCCCCTCCCCCTCAGCCACCACCTGCCCCTGCCCAGCACTGAGACTTCCCCAGGCCGAGAGACATTAGGGAACTTTCAGGAAATCACAGAAGAAAGTAAATTTTAGTCCATGACTATTTAGTGTCAGGATCTGAGCTACACACAGTAGATTCCTGCAGCTCCTGTCACAACTGGGAGCAGATGCAGTAGGACAGGAACCCTGCACCTCCTGATACCAGGAACTTCCTAGGGGAGGGAGGGCCTGGAGCTGCAGAGACTCTCCCTCCCATTCCCCACCCCTCACCCCAGCCCTCCCATTCCCCCAGACTTCACCCCAGCCCTCACCCCCAGCCCTCTCATTCCCCCAGCCCTCACCCCAGCCCTCCCATTTCCACAGCCCACACCTCAGCCCTCACCCCCAGCCCTTCCATTCCCCCAGCCTCACCCCCATCCCTCACCCCAGCCCCAGCTGCAGACAACTCAGAGTGAGAAAGAGCTGCCAAGGGCCTTGGACTCTCAGCTGCCCCCACGATGACACCACCTGGACCCTGATCTCAGCCTGCAGCCCAGCCCTTGCCCTGCGTATCAGGTGGGAGAGGGAAAAGGAGAGGGAGTGTCCTTGCCAAGGTCGGCTTTTCTGTAACAAACACTTTAGGAGCAGATGAGCTCCAGCAGGAGGGCAGCAAACAGCAACTCCCGCTCCCACCCCCTCCCAGCTACCAGGACCAAGGCTATCAGCTTTAACATGACTGCTGTTCACTAAGCACCAAGAGTTTCTTGCTTAAAGTCTAAATTATCCTAATGCTATTGAGTTAATATTTTACTTTCTGTTAACAGACAGGTCATACCTCTTATCTTAGTTATTTCTAGTACTTTCCAAATAGCTTTCAATAAATACCTCAGCCATAAAACAACTGTTAACCCAAAGTATATTAAATGTATTAAAATTTTAGGGGCTGGCACTGTGGCCTAAATGGTAAAACCACTGCCTGCAGTGCCAAATCTCATAAAGGTACCGGTTTGAGTCCCGGCTGCTCCACTTCTGATTCTGCTCTCTGTTGATGGCCTCGGAAAGCAGTGGAGGATGGCCCAAGTGCTTGGGCCTCTGCACCCACAAGGGAGACCTGGGAAGCCCCTGGCTTTGGGTCGGCCCAGCTCTGGTAGACACAACCATTTAGAGAGTGAACTAGTGGTTGGAGACCCTCTCTCTCTCTCTCTCTCTCTCTCCTCTCTCTGCCACTGCCTGTCAGTCTGTCTTTCAAATAAATATTAGAAAATATTAGATTAAAAAATAAAATTATTAGAATTTAAAAACACTATATTTACAAACACAGCCAGGAACCAAAGGAAGAAGAGCAAGCTGCCAGCCCCGCAAAGGGCCAAGAGGATAAGGACCAGTCACGGAGGCTGCCCGGCCAAAGTGGGGTCCATCGCACGCAGGAAGACGGTAGCCCTGTGCCGCCCCAGTGGCTCTCCTGTGCCTGCTGGGCCCAGCTGGAAACTGGGGCTGCTGGCCCCATCCACACCTGTGAACTGGCCCTTCCTGAAGCCTTGGTTCACAGTCTGCTAGTGCCCAGCTCACCGCCTCCGGGTATGGAAGCCAGTAGCCTGGCTGCGCCATTTCTAAGTTCCACTCGCATCTGTTGCTATTTAGATGAATGCTTGGGGTGGTATTATTTCTAAAAATAAACTTTCTGGCTGGCGCCCCTGCTCACTAGGCTAATCCTCTGCCTGCGGTGCTGGTACTCTGGGTTCTAGTCCCAGTTGGGGCGCTGGTTCTGTCCCAGTTGCTCCTCTTCCAGTCTAGCTCTCTGCTATGGCCCAGGAGGGCAGTGGAGGATGGCCCAGGTCCTTGGGCCCTGCACCCGTGTGGGAGACCAGAAGGAAGCACCTGGCTCCTGGCTTTGGATTGGCGCAGCGCACCGGCCATGGTGGACATTTCGGGGGTGAACCGACGGAAGGAAGACCTTTCTCTCTGTCTTTCTCTCTCTCGCTGTCTAACCCTGCCTGCCAAAAAAAAAATCAACTTTCTATTTTTAACAGTCAAATAAAAATACTATCGCTGTGGTCGGCACTATGGCACAGTAGGCTAAGCCTCTGCCTGTGGCACTAGCATCCCATATGGGTGCCAGTTCATGTCCTGGCTGCTCCTCTTCCAATCCAGATCTCTGCTTGGATCCCTCCCTGTACATGTGTGGTAGACTTGGAAGAAGCTCCTGGCTCCTGGCTTCAGATTGACCCAGGTCTGACCACTGTTATATTTGGGGAATAAACCAGTGGAGGGAAGACCTTTCTCTCTGTCTCCCCACTCCCCCACTCTACCTCTCAAATTAATAAAATAAATAAAAATCTCTTAAAAATACTATTTTAATGGAAATGCTTCCATCCTTTTCTTTTTAATTTTTAATTTATTTATTTAAAAGAAAGGTAAGGAGGGAGGGGGAGGGGGGGGAGAGAGAGAGAAAGAAACAAGCTCCCACCCCTTTTCACTCTGAGTGCTCACACTGTTGCCAAAGCCAGGAGCTGGGGACTCAGTCCTGTCTCCCATGTGGGTGGCTGAGACCCCATATGTGAACCATGACCACTGCCTCTAGGGTCTGTGTGAGGAAGAAACTGGATCCAGGAGCTGCAGCCAGATATCGAAGCCAGGCGTGCTGTGGACGCAGGTGTCTCAGCCTGGGTCTTAACTGCTACCCAAATACTCTCCTCACCCATTGCTTTTCTCAGAAGCAGAGTCTGATAAAAAATTAGTTTACCTTGGCCCGTATCAGAGGCCCTGGGTTCGAGTCTTAGACCAGCTTCCTTCTAACGCACACCCTGGAAGGCAGCGGTAATGAGTCAGGTACTTTGGTCCCTGCCACCCATGGGGAAATGTCGCTCCCCCTCTTCGTGGAGGAACGACACAGGACCCTGCGCTGTTCTTTTGTCTGCTCGGCCCTCCCCGGGTTTGCTGCTGGTTCTTCCCGGGTTGGCTACTATCCCTTCCACCTCCGTGGAAGGGCAGTTCCCCCTGGCCACATTCCCCACTTCCGC